ATCCAAATAATGTATAAATCGACAGAAAATTTGAGTTTATCTGGCCAGCCAATTGGTTGATCGGCCGGCGGAGAGCACTTGAGCCCTCTGGAAATGGAAACGAAGCATACATCTATATATACAGCACGGGGCCCTAGCTTTCCGTGCCGACACATGATGTCTGCCGATGCGTGTTAGATATTTTAGACATGTTTGATTCCATCTAACTCATAGTTAGCTATTAAAAATTAGCTTATTTCCTATTTAAATCCTTAGCTAATAAACCAGTTAATATCTTACCTAACTGATTTCTCCTAGCTAACACAACTAAATAGTTAGCTAGGTGAACCTAAATAATTAAGACCTTAGTAAGGGTATGTTTAGATACTAGAGCTAAGCTAGTTAAAAATTAGCTAAAGTTATTAGCTCTAGTGCATCAAAATAGGAGAGCAAATAGGTAGGCTATTTTTTTTTGCCAAGTCTTCATCTAGTTGTTAGCTAACTAGTTATCCAACCATACCTAATTTAAACTAATTTTTAGCCCCAACTAGTAACTAGGTATGTGTATCAAAAAGTAGTACCCCTGCGTCCCAAAATAAGTGTCATTCTTAGTTCCCAAAAATCAAACATTTTTAACTTTGACCATATATATACAAGGAGGTATTAATATTTATGATGCATAACTAGTATCATTAGATGAATCGTTGAATATCTTTTTATAATAAACTTATTTAGAGATATAAATGTTGCTAATATTTTCTATAAACCTAGTTAAACTTAAAAAAGTTTGACCAACATGTATCTCATGACAACTTACTTTGAGATGAAAGGAGTACATACATCCGCAAATGAATCAGAAAGCAACGGACACCGTATGGACTAACATGCATGGGACGATGCCCCCAAATAAAAGGACTAAGAGAAAACATTTGCCCTCACATGGATGTGTATATATCAGCGTATATTATATATATATCAAGAGTGGTTGACTCGAATGGAGGTTTACACATGAATACATTTTATCTTTGTGTAGGTTGTGGCCTTGATGTATGATTAAATTATTGATGCTATTAATTATTATGCCATATTTAAATTAATATTGTGAAAATACATTATCATTGTTGGCCCTAGACAAAACCTTTGGTGATAAGGTCATTATCACCAACGGTTTATGGCCAACAGTACTCAAGTGCTCGTCACCATCGGACAAAACATTGATCCAATGATGATGAGGTGCTCATCACTACCGGATCAAACACCACACCGGCGGTGATGAGCTCTTCATCGCCGATGGTTCAAACACCGCATCGGTGGTGATGAGGTCCTGATTACTGCCAGATCAAACGGTGAGCCGGCGGTGATGAGTTCATTACCGTTGGATCAAGCGCTGAGCTGGTAGGGAGGGATGAAGTCTTCATCACTACCGGTTCAAATGCCGAGCCAACGGTGATGATGAGCTCATCACCGATGAATCATATGCCGAACTAGCAATGATGAAGTATTATCACCACTAGAATCAAACGTTGAGACGACGGTGATGAAGTATTATCACCGCCGGTTTTGAACATTTCGTGATTGACAGGATCAAGATGGCCAAGAGGGGTGGGCATGATTGGGATAATCTAAAGTTTCTGCGGAAATAAAACCTATCTCTTAGCCAAATTCACCCATTATGCCTAACAAGTATTCTAAGCCTACCACATAAAGTTTTGCACCCTAGGTTCCAACGCTACACTAGCATGTAAATTCTAAGGATATAAATCGCATGGAAATAAATGCAGAATATAAGAGGGTTTAGATGATGATATTTTCCCTAGGCATTAAAGAGTCGACACTCCTCACTTATCCTCGTTAGAGGCTTAGAGCACCCACGCAAGGGTCTATCTCCTCCTTGATCCACGCATGGACTAAGTACTCTCTAGTGGTTGATCCTTCTTCACTCCGTAACAGTGGATCACCACACACGTGTACACCTTCTTGGGCCTCTCACAAGTGTCATCGAGAGGTCACAAATTAAAGAGCCACACCAGCACCAAGCCGTCTAGGTGATGTCGATCACCAAGAGTAACAAGCACAAACTCTCACTTGATCTAACGAAGCCTAATGAGAATGGATGCACACTTGCTGCTTTCTAAGCACTAATGAAGTCCTTAATCTACAATTAAGATTTCTTAACCACTTTAATAGGACAAAACACTCTCTTGGACTCCAATGTATGTAACTAATTGCTCTTGGCTTCAAGAGACCCCAAATGCACTAGAGGATGGAGTATATATAGGCCAGCCACCAAAACTAGTTGTTGGAAACCCACTTAGCCGAAATCAACGCACCGGATTTCTTCGGTGCATCACAAGAGGATTCTGGTGGCCTCCAACTAACACAAGTACCAACTAGTCATTACCGTATGGATTTTTTCCAGTGAAAACTCCGGTGCAACACTAGAGAATTCTAGTGATACTGGTTGAGCTCTGCCAAATAAAACCTCTCTATAACCAATCTCCGGTGCTATACTGCAGTGCATCATCGAAGAACTCGGGTGCCTTCTTTGCCCTTGAGCCAAGTGCACACCTTGTTTGTGACCACATCGGAATTATGCCTTTGAATTGTTAGAGCAAACCCTAGTCTGTGCTATGTTCCATATTTTTTTGTGGTTTCTTTGGGGCACACACACACCGTAGAGCTCCGGTGCATAAAAAACTGTGCAATCTCTTCCAATTCAACTCCTTTGAGTTTGGCTATAGATTTCGTCCATTCTTGGGCTTCATCTGAGCTACCTAGTGCTACTATTCACAAATGTACATCACATCCACTCACTAGTGCTACTATATAGTACAGCCAAAGGAGAAAATAAGAAACTAAACTACTGTAAGTGTTTCTCAACACCAAACAACACTATAGGGGCCCAATCAATATGCATCATTGTGGCCTCACTAAATAGTATTGTTGTAAAACACACGTTAGTCACAATGATTATGTCATCATTAATTGTCAAAACCGAATTAAGGGCCTAGCTGTTTTCGGTGAAAACTAACCAGTGAAGGAGGTTTAGCACTGACAGTGATGAAGTTTGTGCATATAAGTGTTTCAACCGATGAATTTGTAACTGTCATGCATGATATGATAAGATACAGTGTGGCCTGAGATAGATGGCATTTTCTTTCTTATTAACTATTTTAACTATTTAATTGTTTTAACTACTCCCTCCATTGCAAATTGTAAATCGTTTTAGCTACTATCATCTACACATAGTGTATATTTAGATACATATCAAAATCTATGTACCTAAAAAACAAAACGACTTACAATTTGAAACGCAAAGAGTATTCCAATAGTTACAGCCCAGCACTACTTCAACATTACTTTTCAGCGAACAAACAGTGTTTTTCTCTCACAACAAATCAGCATAAGCCAAATTTCAGCGAAACGAACATGGCCAAAGTATGTGATTTGTTCGAGCTATTTACCCCCCAAGGGTTAACAAGAGTACCATAGCAAGGCCCAATGAATGTGGCCCAGAACATCAGAACTTGGAATGGCCAGGTTATATACATGCACCACCAGGGAATTATGTTACTTGGAATGGCCAGGTTATATACATGCACCACCAGGGAATTATGTTACAAGTCAGACAGTGATTACATTTATGCATTCCCATTGTTTCTGAGCTTGCACATAACAATTAATTTACAGGAAGGGAAGGGGGCAGCTTGTCAAGCTATCTTGGCATTAGCAGTACGCTCTTGCAATAATTCACTTTCTGTTCTCATGTCGTAAGATGCACCCAAAAACTTGTGAGGGATGTTAAAAAGTATCTGTAAAGCCAGCCATTATCCTCATATTGATGAAGCTCGATTGCTTTGAATCTGTTGTTTCCGAGAATTGAAATGGAAAATGAATTATAGCAGTTAATCACTAGCTTTCCTGTGTCTTGGTATCACTTGTAAAAGCTATATTATATATTTCGCTGTATTTGTCAACAAAGTGGACTTCAAGACCTTTTACATTAGAAGCAAGTTCATCAAAATCCCTTCGGTTTGCTGATGGGAATATGATTGTCTTTACCCCACTTCTCCTTGCAGCAATGGTTTTCTCCTTCACCGAAGAGACATTTCAGTGACAATAATAATAGTAACATGATAATCTCACAGTAGGTTGCAAACAATGTAAGTATGCATGCGAATGGTTCAGAGCTTTTAATGCGTAATTGATGTTATTGCATGATACATTTATGAAAACTTCACCGTAAATGTTATGTTATGGAAGGAGGTAAGTTAATTTAGACAACTTATCTAGTCGATCAGTATTAGGAAAAGTTGGATAGTTCTATTGATCGTCTATTTCCTAGTTCCCTAAGTTAGTTAAATAGTACCTCTTATATAAAAGGTAATCTAGTCCGAGATTATGGGGGCCAATCAAGAATCAACATAGGAAAGGGTTTTTTCCCACCTAAATGGTCAGAGCATATTCTAGATGGAGAAAGACCATAGATTAAAGCATGATTTGCCCCTATCTCATTGTATTCATCTGGTTCTATAATATGTAGATAACTCATCAATTACCAGAATTCACATGACATGGATAGAATATTTCAGATCATACTCATTTGAGAAGTCTAGAACCAGAAGGGGAGCAGGCACAATCATGAAATCAACATTTGCTTTTACTGGCAATATCAGTGCACCTGATTTTGAAAGACAAGAGAGTGCCAATATGTATAGCATGTAAATTCCTACCAAACCAGCAGGCAAATAAAAAGTCTTAAAACCATACCCCACCGATTGGAAGAATTCGTCCAGTTAGAGTTACTTCACCAGTCATTGCCAAGTCTTTCTTCACAGATTTCCCCATGGCTAAGGACAACATCGATGTTACCACGGTGCACCCAGCGCTCGGCCCATCCTTTGGTGTGGCTCCATCAGGAACATGCAAATGTAGCTTTGACTTTGCAAAAAAGGGATTATTTGGTTCTTTCTCTAGTAATACAGCTCTACAAACTGTATGTGCAATTTGGGCGCTCTCTTTCATGATATCGCCAGCTGGCCTGTCACAACAAGTGTGACCTTGCCTTTGCTTTCCTCTACTTTTGCTGTCTCAATGTACAAGGTCGAACCACCCATAGCATTCCAAGCTAAACCCATGACCACTCCAACAGGAGTCTGATTGTATATGCGCTCTGCTTGGAACACAGGCTTCCCAACAAAATTACCAAGATTTGATGCATTGACAACAACTTTCTCCTCAGGCTTGTCTACAAGCACTTCCATAGTCCTATGTATGCTTTCATTGTTGGCCTACAAAAAAGTATTAAAGAACAGTTTAATTAGAGCACAATCCTTAACAACACAAATCAGTCAAACCTATGCTAGTTAAGACATCCATCTGCAATTTGAAATTGACTTGGGTTTTATTTACTGGAGATCTTAGACACGATAATCAGACAGAAATGGTGAAGGAATACCATCTGTTGCAGTACATCACTAACAAAAACAGTGCCATAAAGGTTACCAGAAATAACAGCATAAGCATATCAAACTTCCACTGCAGGAAAGTGGATAATCATCACATGCCAAGAACAAAAAAAGTTTGATTTTTACCTGTAGCTTCCCTGTCTGGTTCTAACTAGGTTCGGAGCCAGCCGTTAGTGCATGACATTGTCAACAATCAAGTGCACAAGGGGCCAGCATAGTCATTGCACATTTACCATAATAGAGTGCAAGATTTTAGTTCCATCTGTAGGAAATTACAAAGGTAGTCATATTACCTCTGGTATCTTAAAAGTATTAGATGGTTTGGCTGTCTCTTCTGCAAAAGTTTTTGTAGGTGCTTCATTTGAATGCTTATTGTGGCCTACTTCCGACTCTGTTGTTAAAGGCACCACATTAATATTATCAAGAGAAGAATCAATTGGGCCCACGTCCACTGAAGCATCTTCTGCAATAGAATTCTTCGAGTTCTTATCTTCTACTTTTGTTACAACATCAAAATTGACTGACTTTTTATCTGCTTCTACTACTGTGATATCTCGAGGTGGCTCATTTGATACCCCTTGACGGACAAGTTTCAGAGTTATCTGCAAAGGTTGAATCAGGGATGACAAATGAAAATGTCTGCTTACTGGTAGACGAAAAGGATGCAAAAACAAGGACACAGTATTAGTAGCCATGTCTTCAACACATCATTTGCTGTCATTATTATTTGCCCTTTCAGTTACAGATGATCAAAATTGAAGTGATTTCTTGCTACCAAGTACCAAGAATGGGATATATGTTTAAAGATGTCTTACAGTAACTCCCTTGAAATAAGTTAAAATACACGCATGGGTGAATGGAACTAGTAATGTAGGCTATGAACATTATGCAGACCGTTTTCTTCTTCTTTTGAGTAGTGTTATGTGTTGCACAGGTAACACACTAGACAAGTGGAATTTGATCTGCCAGAGGGCAGCTTGGCCACAGGCCACTTGATTGCATTATATAGAGATAGCAAACTTGGGATACAAGAAGGTCTCAACCACTACAGCATATTCTAACTGTATAAAGTAGATGCTATGATTCTAACTTGGATGCTAAGGCATCTGAAAACTACTAGACAATGAATAGTAAAGGTCTAGGCAGTAATAGTAAATAGCTTAAGTAACTAGATACATTGAGGATCAGCACTAGGCTAAACCCTCATTTCTCCCCCTTAGCCTTGTGCTCAGCCTTGGAGGTGATCTGCTTCAGGCCAATCCTCTCCCTCATCTCTTCAAACTTGGCCTTGCCCAGGGATTTGGTGAGGATGTCTGCAAGCTGATAAGTGGTTGGAATGTGTTCGGCCTTGATGCTTCCATCTTCCAGGCAGCTTCGGATGAAGTGGTACTTGATCCTGATATGCTTGCTCCTCTCATGGAAGACTGGATTCTTGGCCAGAGCGAGGGCTGACTTGCTTTCCACCTTCAGCTCCACCACCTCGACATGCCTGCCGAGGAGCTCTGCTAGCAGCCTTGATAGCCACAGAGCTTGTGTTGCAGCAATAGAGGTGGCAATGTACTCAGCTTCATAGCTTGAAAGTGCCACCACCTTCTGCTTGATAGATTGCCAGCTGAACAAGCAATTGCCGAGGAAGAACAGCGTTCCGCTCGTGCTCTTGCTCGTGTCAATGTCGTCGGCGAGGTCGCTGTCGCAGTAGCCGACGAAGCGTGCGGTGCCGGGCGCCTTGGTGAAGTGCAGACCGAAGTCTAGAGTGCCAACGACATAGCGGAGAATGCGCTTGACAGCCTGTTGATGCTCCACCGTTGGCCGCTCCATGAACCGGCTGACGAACCCAACGGCGAACACCAGATCAGGGCGAGTGTGCACCAAGTAGCACAAACTGCCGATGAGCCGCCGGTAGTGCGTGGGGTTGACCTCCTCCGCCGTGTTGTGCCTGCTAAGCCTCAGCCATTCCTCCATTGGAGTGTGGGCAGGGTTGCAGCCAGCCATTCCGCCGAGCTCTAGGATGCGCTTGGCGTAGTGTCTGGCGGAGGGTGATGCCATTGGCATCTTGGCGCACTTCGACATCGAGGTAGAAGTTGAGGAGGCCGAGGTCACTCATGTCGAAGATCTTTTTCATCTGTGCCTTGAACACCTCCACTTCACGTTCCTCCGCGCCGGTGATGATGAGATTGTCGACGTAGACGCAGACGAGCAGGGCAGAGTGCCCACTTCCCCGCCGGTACATCGCCACCTCATGAGCGCTCTGCTGGAAGCCCATGTCCTTGAGCATGGCGTCCAGCTTTGCGTTCCAGGCGCGCGGTGCCTGCCGCAGGCTGTAGAGAGACTTGCAGAGGCAGTAGACCTTTCCTTCTTCTCCGGCGACGGCGAAGCCAGGCGGCTGCTGCACGTACACCTCTTCCTTGAGGTCGCCGTTGAGGAAGGCGGATTTCACATCCATGTGGTGGACGCGCCAGCCTTCTTGAGCCGCCAGCGCGAGGACTCTGACGGATTCATTGCGCGCCACGGGAGCGAACGCGTCGTTGTAGTCGATCCCCTCTTGCTGCACGAAGCCGCGCGCCACCAGTCTGGCCTTGTGCTTGATCACCGCGCCCAGCTCGTCCTTCTTGAGCTTGAACACCCACTTCAAGGTGATGGGGCAGTGGCCTGTGGGCAGCGACACCAGCTCCTAGGTGCGGTTCTGCTCCACGGCCTTGATCTCTTGCTCCATTGCCGCCCGCCATGCCGGATCATCCTTTGCCTCGGCGAAATTGGTAGGCTCGCCGGCGTGCATCGGGTGCAGCTTCGGCGAAGAGACACTACGGCGGTGGAGGTGGAGGGCGATCGCCGATGATTTGTTGGTCATCGTGCGGTAGCGTAGCGGCTCGTCGTCGTAGTAGGCGTCGAGTCGCTCTTCATTATCCTCCAGCGGAGTGGTGAACTCCACTTGATCACCGATCATTGCTATTGCCGCCGGTGAGGTAGGCGAAGCGGTAGGGGCAGGGGGACGCAGGTGGTGGTGTTGGCGAGGCCGGCTGGGGTGCTGGAGGAGTGGCCTCTGCTGCCGATGTCCTTCTGGGCTCTCTCGGACTTGGTGACGGCGAGCGCTGCGCAGACGGTGGTGGTGCTGGTGACGTAGTTCCAGCCGCCGCCGCGGTAGCACTTTGTGCTACCCCTGCTCCTCCTGGCCACCAGTACTCGACGGTGAAGTCACTTGCCGCCGAGGCCGAGCAGCCGGCGTCCGGAGTGGACCAGTCCCAGCCACGCCCTTGTCGAAGACGACGTCGCGAGTGACCTTCACGCTCTGCGTCACCGGGTCTAGGATGCGATACGACTTCGCTCCTTCTGCGTGTTAGCTAATCTACTGCCACCTTGTGTGAACACATCTAGATAGTGATCAAGAAAGTTAGCATTCTGTTCGGGATCAAGAAGTTCCAATAGTGCACTGGCTGGATCACCTGAATGCCCTTTCCCAAGCTGGAGGCAGGAAACAACACAACCAGTAAGGTAGTATACAATAACCCGGATTACCAGATGAACCATGAAAATTGCTATATAAAGTCAATATTGTACACCATATAACAGCAAGTAAAATATAATGGCACTTCAGTTCCTAAAATGAAGCAATAATAGCGACTTTTAAGTCAAAGATGCGCACGAATACCTTGTCAATCTCATCTATCAAAACTAGAGGATTTGCTGTTCCTACTGATTTCAAACACTGAACAATCTTCCCTGGCATTGCCCCAACATATGTCCGCCGATGACCCTAAAATGGTCTGAAAATTTTACTTGGGTAGCAATCATGATCTGTTAAATACATAACATGAATAACACACCTTAATTTCTGCTACATCGGTCAAACCTCCAACAGAGAATCTGTAGAACTTCCGGTTTAGTGCACGTGCAATTGAACGTCCAATACTAGTTTTTCCAACTCCAGGTGGCCCAGAAAGACATATGATCTTACCTGCAGTGAAAGAGCAAAACAGATATTTATTGCTACAGTTAGGAGGAAAATTGTAGAACCAGGTTACATACAATTGTTGATTCGAATTAACAGGAAGTCAGGAACTAGAGGAATAATACATAAAGCATAATTTTTTTCTTAATGCCTTGAGATCCCAGTTCTCCAACACCAGAACATACATTGAGCATCTGGCCAGGAAAAGAGAACTAAGAAATGGCAAAGCAGTTGAAGGAAAATGTAAAATTTTATTTCCAGCAAGGACCATGACTTTTGATCAATGTGTGACAAGACGAAGTATGTAATTCAGTAATTGTTTCAATTTAAGATACAATTAGCATAGATTTTAAGGCTTTATAAAGGCTGTCATCAATACATAGATAATAAGAGTGTTCATTCAGCATAAAACAAGTTTGGAACATTATAATAGGAAAATCATATGGTGCCCCCATTAGCTAAAATACCATGTCACAAGTTCTGAGCACTGGCCACAGAGCAGTCACTTGATAACAATTTTTACTGCCCATAAGCTCCATTCCCTTTTCTCCCTCCAGACAAGAATACCCACTCTCAGTTAAAAAAACGACACACTAAAAACAGCAATGTGAATTTAGCTAATAATAACAAAAATAACTCAACCGGTGCGGGAAAGACCGCCCCCACAGCTTTGCACTAAGAAGAAAGCTCAGCGAAACCTGCCAAGAAAACCTCCAACCCCTGGCCTCACACTGGGCTGTACTGTAACTTAGGTCAGCAACCACTGCCACACCATTACCACATGTCGGCAGTGAACCACTATTGCAAGCCGGGATTTGAACCTAGGCTGGCTGGTACCACTACTCAGTGACCAGCCACCTCAATTACTGGTGCATTTGCAATTTAGCTAATAAGTAATAACTAGAGCAGCGCAGCTTTATACAAAATACATAACCTGCAAAACAGACACTGGCTGAACACTTGCTTATTGTTAGGCGGTAATCGTGTGGAAGCTGAATGCCAGAATCAACCTGTGCACATCCTACTAGAATCGCCTTTCAAACATCGGCAAAACTCGCAAACCCAGTGAACAATATCCAACTATTCTGAGACAATGCTCGTCCATAGCTTTTGCATGAGTACACATTTGCATGCACATGATGTGCCAAGTTTCAATTTTTTTGAATGACCGAAATACATTTTTTGAATTGGTTTTCATGCTTCCAATTCTACCTAGTAGGTGGTTTCCACCATATATTTTGCGAAGAAAAAAGGTCGGACAAAAAAAAGGGGGGGTTGGACATGTTTTGCTAGCAGTGCAATTTTATTTCTTCTCTGAACAGAAGAGAATTATGCCACTGCATCATATATGCTATCATTGTACAAAAAAGAATATCACCAAAATTTCAATATAGTTTCAATGTTTCCGGTTTCTAAGGTCTAATAAATCTCGTTAATCCAAACCCATGAAACGACGAGTTTTGGAAAAGAAAAAACATCCAACCGAGCTAAGTCCCGAAAACAAATCCTTTAGAAGAATTTTTTTAAAAAAAAATCACAAGTATGATCTTCTCCGAAAGTGAGATTGCACAGTCGTAAAAATCATAAGTATACTTATCAAACAGCTGCCTTAGCAGAATTTGGCAAATAATTCGAGGGGAAAAAAAGGATGATGCAAACCGCAGAGAATAGCTTATTAATGGCGATCCATTTGTAAGAGGACGCGCACCGTGTGGCAATCCTCGGGGCGGAGGACAGCGGGCACGATCGCAGAGGCATTCTCCCCCTCGCCTTCCTCCCCAGACGCAGCCTCTTCGCCCTCCGCCGCGGAGGACGCTGCTTCCGAGCCGCTATCGTCGCCGGCGGCGGAGCATAAGCACACTCTCCTCCCCGGGACCGGGACTCCCCCGCACCTCAGTGCCCTGAGAAGTGGCCACCTCGCCTCGGTACTCGCAAGCGCAACCCTCGCCGCCACAGTCACCGCCAGTGGCCTCTTGGCGGCGAGCCTCGCCGGCAACCCTGCAACGGCCGCGGCGCGCAGCATTGGGTGCTCGTGCTTGGGCCTTGGGGCTGAGAAGACAAGGAAAGCGAAACCTTCCGGGCGCGGTGATTTGTACCTTCGGTTTGTGCCTCCTCGCAGAAAATGGGAAATCAGGTGCGCTTTGCTCAAATCCCATTAAATTCGTGGGCTTCGCTCAAATACCTTTACGAAATGAGTCAAATACGTTATAACGACATTTTGAAGTTTAAATCCATTTTTAATATTTTTCGCTCAAACTTTTAGCCTGACTATTTTGCCCCTAAACTCATTGACCCATGCCCTCTCATCTCTCCCCCTCTCTCGCTCCCGTCGCCTCCCCTTCCTCTCCCTCTCCCTCTCTCTCCCGAGGTGGCGGCGTTGCGGCGGGCTCCGAACGCGGCGGCCTCCCTGCGCTGCGCGTGGCCGTGGGCCCCGGTGGCGGGCGAGCCCGGCTCGGCGCCAGCAGCGCCAGGCCATTGCTGCCTCTCTCTCTCCCCCCTCTCCGGTGTGCAAAGACCAGACGGGCCTGGCCACACTTAGCAGCCCTTCGCCGAGGTGGCGCGGCGCACAAGGCGGCGGTGGCGCAGCCATGGGCGACCCCTCCCTCTCCTCTCTCTCCTCCGGTCTCGATCTACCATTGGGCGTGCAAGTCCGCCGCGAGGCGAGGCGGGTAGGCATGGCCTTGCAGTCCAGTCGTCTTCATCTTCCCCCCTCTTCCTCTCTCTCTGTGTGCCCGCTCATGGTGCTCGTGCCCGGAGCCGGTGGGTCTCGGTGGTGCCGCGGTTGGCACAGAGTAGTCTCAGGTGCTCTCGTTTCCTCTTGTATTTTGGGATTTTGCTTTTGCCTCTCTGATTCGTCCCTTCGATGACTTCAATTCGTGTTCTAGGGTTTGGCCTAGAATGCCTGTTGTTCCAATGTTTGCCTTCTCTGTGTTTATCTATGAAAGGACGGCACCAATTGGCAATGACACTATTTATCTCAAAGATGAAAAAGTCTCCATTGATAAGATCAAATTAACACCTCTGTGTGGGATTCAAGGGATTGTGTCTGTGATTTTATTTTTGCAACTTTTTTTCTCAGTTTTTCCCTCCCCCATTCTTGCTTCGATTCTTCATTTTGAGACCGATTTAGTTCGTTCTTTTTTGCTCAGATTCGTGCTATGACATGAGTTGATGCTACCCCTTAAGTGAATTTGATTGAATCGAGTCGAGCACGAAGATATTGAACGAATTTCGTTTTTGAGGAGTTTTTCGTGTTCTTGGCCGTGATCTAATTTTCCCGGAGTTTGGGTTGAAATTGGGCGATGATCTCTTAGAGTATGCTCACCAACTCCCTTGTGATGGCCTGTGAAAAGTTTGGTCGCGATTTGTTTTGATTTGGTCCAGTTTTTCGTCGATTTTGTGGCCGCCGGTTTCCTGTTCTAGATTTCCAGATCGTCGTTTCTTCCTGCTTCGTCGTGGGAGGCCGAGCAACAGGAGCCGCGTGCTCCCAATGCCAGTCCAGCGACCGGCCGCTCGCCTAGGTGCTCTGCTCAGCGGTGAGCAGCTCCACCGCTCAAGCCCCTCTCGGTCTCCCACCGTCTCTCTCTGTGCCCGGCGACGAGCAGCACCACCGCCCGCACTTCTCTCTCTGCTCGCTTTCCCCCACCGATTCAACGAGCTCAGGGGCAAAATGGTCACTGAAGGCTAAAATTTTGGCTGAATTTTTTTTAAAGTAGACTTAAAACTCAAAATGGCATTATAGCGTGTTGGACTCGTTTCATAAGGGCATTTCAGCGAAACCCATAAAATTAATGGCATTTGGATGAAGCCCACTTCCCATAAGGACAAAATTCCGATTTTCTCTCCTTCTCGTCGTTTTTTTAAGTTGCAGCCTTGCAGGAGTTTTATGCGTTTAGCTTGGGAGAAAAGAATGGAAGGTGAAAACGGTTAATAAACCCTCGTAAAACCCATCGCTGGGTGTACTTTTTCTGGTGGGACAGCACACAGGAGAATTTGATTTTGAAATTTCTGCGAATTGTATTTTGAATTACCTTCATTAAATCAGTAGTTTTTTTTTCATTCCATAGAGTCCATTTGGAAGGAAAGTGGGAAATTTCGCCCTTTTTCCTACGTAATTCTCACGCTCGGAAATGTCTTCGGAGGAGATTATTTTTGCTCATAACAAAACTACCTCATATAGCATTCATGATTTTGTATTTTGCTTTAGCTTTACATTGCTATAGCTTTTTCATGTTTCTCACTATTCAGAAGACAAGGTCAAGCTCGGTAAGTGGGTGTTCAGTTTCAGTGCTTTGTTCTGAATTTGTGAGAGATCGTTGGAAGATCGAAATGCTCAAGGAAAGCTGCAGCGTGCAAATAGCATGCTTTGGACAATCAACAAAACAAAGGAGTTTTGGGAGAGAAGCAAGAGATAAAGCGCTTCCATACTTTCCCCCTAGTTCAAGTTTTTGCAAGACATCTTTAGACTCGTCGTTTCCTATGCATGAAGAAATCAGTGGTGTCTCGAAGGATTTGGAGGCCCCGAGCTAAGCTCAAAATAAGGTCTAAATTAAGTACTCCTCAATTTAAAATTATAAGTCATTTTAGTTTTTCTAGGTAGCTTTTGTTATACATCTAGATATACATTATGTCTATCTAGAGATATACAGTAAATACTACGTGTCTAGAAAAAAAATGGAACGACTTATAATTTGGAGCTAAGAGTAACAAACTAAGAGATGTGTTATGGTGGTTAGGAGGACCTACCGAATCTTTTTTAGTCGTTGATAAAAAAAGAATTAATTAATTGTAATTAAGGTCACTTTAGTAATTTTACATGGGTCATCAACTTCTGAGGTCTATGTTCCATTTTCCTTTGTCGCAAAATAATAGTAGCGTGATTGGATGGCTGCATATGCCTGACCTGGACCATGATCCTGGGATGCAGCCATGCAGGTTCCAGTTGTTTGGATGGTTGTAACGTGACTTGGGCTGGGCCCTGCTCGTGCAAATCTCCTTCACCGACGTGGCTCCAAAGAAACGAAAATAAACACCCTGTCGTTTAAACGTATCAGCCATGCTTATTAGTCATGATAAAGTGTTTTTCTCTCGTAATAAAACAGTATCAGCTGATTTATAAGATAGAGAAACGATCAAGCGAAATGCGTGAAAACTCGTTTTCCCCCGTGGCCTGGCTCGCGTGAGACGCGATCTTGCGTCTGGCACCATTACTGCTGCAACTAAACAACTCTGTGCGTCGGTGCCGCTGAACCAGACAACCAAACAACTGTGGCTTGTATGTGTAGCGCCTGGCCAACGGCAGCGTGGCTACCAGATGCGGTGCGGTATGGCAGGAGAAGGAAACCAAACAGGCTATAGGTTGGTGACAGGTGCACATCGCTGCCCACCTACAAGTCACCGGGACCCATTCGATTCGGACAATGATTACACAAACCCTTCCACAAACTCTACTGGGCCCATCTGATCCGGGCAATAAGGAGACTGCCTGCATGGGCCCGCATGCAGAGGGGCTAGCCGGGCCGCCAGGGAGCAGCAGGTTGATCTGAACTTGTTTAGAAAGCTGACGCACCTTCTATTGCTCCTACTATGACACTGAGCAGACGCCAGGACCTTCCCATTCCCCACATACTACAAACGGGTTTGCTTCACACCAACAAAGATTTGTTGACTGCTCACTAGTGACTGCTCACACGTTGCATTCATGTCGCTCCTAATGTTCTATTCTGACGTGAAGTAATTGACTGAACTTTACTGAAACAAAAGGAAATGCATATGGGTAACTTTACTGAATTCCTACCACATGATGGGGAGAAGAAGCTTTCATCAGACATATTAGCGGTAGTAAGTCAACTTTCTCATGCACAAATAATACATCTACAATACGTCATGAAAAGCATGGGTAGAACGAAAGCAGTATTGCTCAAAGTGGACCAAATCAGGTCTGCTTTCATGGAACCAATAAACCGCACGGAAACTGAAAAATCCAGTAGGATAGCCTCCCACCGTAGATTTTCAAAGTCAGCTAGCACCAAGAAATAAAGCTCAACTGTTTACAGGCGCACCCACCAGAGAGTTCGGTGGCATGCATGTATTGAACTTTGGAAAGGTTTGCTTAGCTCATCTTTTTTTTCCCCGGTTATGCGTAGCTCATACGAGTATTTGCTTGCTAGCCAGCACTAGCATCAACAAAAACTACGATTAGAGGCAAACACACTGTGCCGCAAGAACAAGCACTTTTGCGCTACAATCTTTGCTCACGCACGGCACGAAAGTAATATCAGGTACCACATGCGTGATCTAGTACTAGCTGGCACACTATCACTGATGCTCTTTATTATTACCCTGAAAAAATTTCACCGATGCTCTTTAATATTCCTTAACACATAAGCAATGCAACTTACAGCCCTGCCAGCTGCCACGGTACAATACGCATATACTAATCGAAAATGACACATACTGTTTCTAGCATTTCATTCCACGCAGATAAAATTATTGGGTATACGTTGTGGTCAGTTTTTAATGTTATCTCATCAGTCGTGACGCCATGCTCCAAGAGAACCAACTAGGGCATCTCAATCTAATCGCAGTAGAATTAAAAACTGATGAGATAGATCATTAATTTGTCGAGAAAATGCAGTGGCCACCTGTCCCCGATCCCCGGGCATGTACATCGACCTGAAAGCTTAGTCAAAATTTCACAATTCAAGTTTCAAGTAGCACAGTATCAGCTGCTAGTTAATTGTTTTTTTAAAAGCTGCTAGTTAATTAGTGTAGTTAAGTAGCACAGTAATTTGTTCTTGTTGCTTCTCTGATGTTTGCTCTGTGCTGCTTCGCAGAAGGTAAAGCGGCCAATCCGTGCTTCTGGTCGGCGGACTAGGCACCAAGTCATCGATGGAATTCCTCGTGTGTTTCCTTGTTCTTCGTTCAATTACCGTTGGCCACTCGGGCGCTTTGTAGGACTGCAACGTGCATTTGTGATTTGTGGTGACGCAGCAAGCCCTATACTACTAGTCAGACAAAAGGAGCAAAATTAAAGAACGCCTCAGCAACCATAAAGAATCAATGCCCCCCGTGATGCTTCTCTCTGCCGCCATTGCATGGAGTTGTTTAATTTCCCTCCGATGGTGAAGTTGTGTATAGTATACCGGCCTAGGGTTGAAAAACTTCATCAGATCTTTCGAGCGTACGTTAAATATCTCAAATATGCTGGCATCATGAGTGGCATTGATAGAAACCCAGTTTTGTATTGGTGTGCTTGGGAAGTTTCAGGCATAGTTCTTTGGCATCTTTGGAAATTTCACTGCCCCGTAGCAGACCAGCTCTACGGTTAAAACAATACAAAAACCTAAAACCTTTCATCTGACCCCAATGGAGGTGCTTACGAACAAAAGATCAAGTCCCTTGTTTAATCAGGCTAGTTGGTGCACACGCAATTGCACGAGCTGAGCTGACTGCTGAGTAATATTACTGTATTAGTTAGTGCATATAATACGTCGTCAGTCCCCTCCGTCCAGTCCTTAAATCTTCGGCCTCCGCCACCCTCAGGCCACCCCTTCTGCCTTCACAAATCTTCTAGTTGGCTCTTGGTTGTTTGGGAAGGGCAGAAGCCCGATGCCTCCTCCTCCCCCGGATGCCTCACTTCAAGTTCAGCTAGCTAAGTTCCATCTTCCTTTGAGATTTTGCTACGAACACCTGCTGCAACAATCTCTGCTCTCGTGTTCATCCGCCAAGCTCCATGTCATGTCGCTCACGGAGGTCAGCCTCCACTTCTGCTACCTCCACTCCCTCTCCATCGTGCTTCTCTACTTCCTCTACGTGATCTCCTGATCGGCCGACTCCCGCCAAGTTCCGAACGAAGCTTTGGTTTGATTCATAGCCGAAGCTTTGTTCGTTCAAAAAAAAAAAATACTATTAATCACTATACCTTCATGCTTGTTCCTCTTCGTTCCATGATCTTGCCCCGTTCTTCTCCCGGACCTCTCCTGTTTTGCTGCTAAGTTCCGTGCGTCTCCTAGCGCATACTCCTGCACTCGATCAATCATTCGACTAGGAGCAGTGCGCGGCAGTGTTGGAAGCAGTTAAGTGCTTCCCTTCTGAAAGTAGTAGCTAGGATGGTTCCACCGGCGGCTGCCCAGGGAGCGCGCCGCGCCGCGGTGATCACGGAGGAGGAGCGGCGGCGCAACCGTATGACCTCCAACCGGCTGTCGGCGCGCAAGTCCCGCATGAAGCAGCAGCAGCACGTCGACGACCTGACCGCGGAGAACGAGCGCCTGCGGCGCGAGAACGAGGCGATGCGCGCCAGCGTCGGCGACGTCCTGCAGCAGAGCCGCGCGCTGGAGCAGGAGAACCGGGTGCTCGCCGCGCACGCGCGCCAGCTGTGCGCCGCGCTCCTACTGCGGAACTCTCAGCTCCGCCTGCTCGGCGACGTGTCCGGCGTACCGCTCGACGTGCCGGGCGTGCCCGACCACCTCGTGCAGCTCTACGGCGGCGTGCACATGCCAGTCACGCCGCTCTCGCCGTCGCCGCCGCCCCTGCAACTGCAATTGCCGCTGGAGATCCAGCTGATGCTGCTCCAGCCCGACGTCATGGACGCCGTCGGTATGCTCGTGTGAAGTCTGTTATATATGTCGTTGGTGTGCAGTGTGCTGTTATGTATTCGCGCTTTGTTTGCTGTATGTATCCTGTGTTGTACTGCTGTATCATGTATGCTTGTCATATGTGAACAACGTACTGTAAGTGTGATGTGTTAATGTTCGTCGGCGATAGAATAAAGAATGTGTGTAACGTATGTACGTATAAGTAAGTTGTATAACAGTGTAAGGCATGCAGAAAGCTCGAAAGTGAAGTATAATACTGTACTAGTTTTGTCTCAAAACAAATAAACCAATTTCTAGGATCATCGAGTTAAACTATTTTAAATGTGATTAACATCGTCTATATATGACACCGAATAATACATTATGAAAATATATTTATCTTATGATATATAGTGATATAAATTTGAAGCCATAAATATTTTATAAATTTAATCAATTTAAAATAATTTGACTTAGAATTACTCTAGAAATTAATTTATTTAGGGACTGAGAGGTCCTGGTATCTGTGGAGTGGACAAGTATCTATGTTATTATCGACAAGTTGCTTACCCATGATTTTGGGATTAACTGTGATCATTTTACTACTAAAAGCTACGACTGCATGCCTTTTTTCGCATGAGGATTCGTCAAATCTTTGCCTAATAATGTGTGATGAAGCCGAAGACGGAAGCACGAGGATTCGACAAAACTGGGACTCTGGGAGGAGACATCAAGAACTGTTGGACACGGCTTGGTTCGCTAGCTCTGGACCGGTTGCGCGCGAGAGGAAGGGAAGGGTGGGCCTCAACTCGTTCCAAGAAAAAGGTTCTAGCCCATTCTCATTTCTAAATCACTAATTCGTTTTCGCGTTGGTGGTGGCTTGGCATCTGTGGTGTGTGGAAAGAGCACAACGACAGGCTAGGAGAGCGCAGCTCATGCTGGTTGGTTCGAGCCTGACTAGTCCGTTTAGTGTTTGCGCTTCCTAGTGTAAGTCGAGTTGTGGCTTTTTGGTTGCTGTTGTCACTCAAGTCTGCACGACTAAGGCCTCGTTTGGTACAGCTTAGTTTATCAATGAAGCTGTTTTTTTTTAAATAGCTTCATGAGTAACTTTAATGGTGAAGCTAAACTGTTTTGGAAAAACTGTTTGGCAAAATATCTCACCAACAGTTTCATACATTGTTAAGAGCGGGAAATGAAGGAGGTAGCTAAGAAAAGCTATTTTTTTTAGCTTCACCTCTCTCTCCGTTCATTTGTGAGAGCATAAAAAAGGAGCTTCACTCATGAGCTATTTTGAAAAAGAGTGTTTAATAAAAAAAAACAATTCATAGCAGCTCATGATGCTGTTGGTGAAGGTATATCAAACAAGTCCTAACTCAACGTTTTGCAAATTTTGATTTGACCCGTTTCCTTCCTCTCTCTCTCTCTCTCTCTCTATGTAACACAAAGATGCGTAATTTTCTTAGTTTCTCGAGAAAATCTTGGTTGGTAATTATTGTACCCGCATGAACGATATATGTACCGCCTCCACTGCGACCTTTTGCTTTCAGGTTTCAGCTTGCCAGGGGTAGCTTGACCGAGACGTTGCACATTCGTCTTTTTGCAAAATACATAAACGCTGCGTTGCTGCCACACCCTGGCACACGGTGATGCAAGCGACAGTTCCTTCCATACTTTACTTTCACCCCTACGGTGACGAGGCGTTAAACTGGACAATAACTACGAGACACTCGAGCGCGAGATATATGACTAGACGTCGACGCGGACCGACATTTTTTCGTCGTCGTTCGACAGGCAGCACTGGCTGCCTACTTCGCTTGCATGCCGTCGATCGATCGTCGTCGCTCTATCGGCCATGCACGAAAGCTGCTGCATCCGCCCTCAAATAAATCAATTCTTATAATCCATGCAATCCAAACTATCTTAAGTTTGACTAATTTTATACAAAATAGTAATAATATCTATGTAACACACCTGGTCTTAAGCATCACTAAAACTTGATCATGTCATCATCATGTATAGAAAACATCCATGGTAGCTAACCATGCTTTGCATTCACTAAAATCAAGTTTAATTATAGGTTATGCAATGCAAATGTGTGGTGTAATGAGCAAGAATCAAAAAATTCTTTTAAGGTACTTTGTGGCCTTCTCATTTTTGAATTCCACTAAAATATTTAGAATTATACCCTAATAAACTTTGTAGTGTAAAGAGTGTACTTTATACTAGGATCGAGTGTTGGGTATGAATTCAAGTTCAAACCATTAAAATTCAAACTTCAAAATTGAATTCATGAGTGAAATCCAACACTTAGACAAATCTGCCGAAGTCTTGGAAAACAGTTTTTGAATTCATTTTTGGGGAATTTAATTAAAAGAATTTCATAAATAACTTTGCTTCAACCATTATATCATTGATTGGTACAAAGTTTGTGCTAACCAATGGTGGTATTGGTTGATAGGTTTGTTAGTCAATTAATCACTAAATATTTCACCAAAATAGCTAATTAACAATTTTGCTAACCCTAAAAACAGATTTGAAATTCTATCTCCAAAATTCAAAATCTCTTAATCCAGTGAGTTTTATGGGTTGAGCCTAAAATCAAAGTTGAAGATCTCGAAGAGCTGAGCAACTTTGATTCTTGAAGTTTTTCAAGTTGCAATATGGAATCGAGAGCAACCGGATGGAAAAGAGGAGAAGGTGCCCTGCTACAGTGCATGGCCGGCAACCAGCCTGCCTGTCTGCTGCACCGGTGGCCGCCCACCGCCCTCGCTCGTTGTTTCCTCACGCTGGGACACGCAGCTGCCAACGTGGAGAGGCCAAGCAGCTGCTGGCGCTTCTCGTCGCTTCGTCCCTCACCGTTTTAGCCCGAGCCGACCGCCGTCGTTCTCCTTTTTCCCTCTCTCTGCCGCCGTCGTCGAGTTCGCTCCCGCCGACGCGATCCACCGAGCCCACTCAACCTCAGCGCAATTCCTCGCGTGCATACCTTCGCCACATCCTTGCGCTCCTCCCAGGCCTGCTTGCCTCGTCCATAACTGCCGGAGTCAGTCGCGCCACCGTTTCCCGCCGCAACAGCTTTGCTGCGTCGCTGAGCTTCCCTTCACCGTGGCCAGGCCACACCGGTGAGCAACTCAGCCAATCACCCAATGTTTTGAGCTTGTCTCGATGCCGTGTTGCTCGTCACCTTAACCGTTGAGTGATTCGTGCTCAGATTTCACCGGACTGCCATCGCGTCGCCATGTCTGCACCGCCGCAGCCGCCCTCATCGACGTCAATGTACCTCCATCGTGCCTTCGCCACAACCGAGTGGTCAGACAGGTCCACGCTGAGCTCCTGATGCTACCTGCCACCTCCGTTTTATCTCTACCGCCTCATCATGTCTGGCACGTCGCCGCCACTCCACCATGTCCGCCAAGGCCAGCGTCGAGCTCGTCTCTAACCCTGCCAAGTTATCACCCTAGATCGGTTCGCGATGTCATCCTGAGCACGAAGGTGCAAGCCACGGTGCCTGAGGCCTCGCTAGCGACGAGAACTCACCGGTCAGCGCGGGGAGGCCACCGGAGTTGACTTAGGGCCCACTGTCAGTGAGCGCGGGTAGGGAGAGCGCGGGTGAAAAATGTTTTCTTCCGTTTTATTCTTTTTCAGAAATAATCAAATTGACCTAAATCTTGTTTAATTCATATAAAATTGTATAAGTGTGATAAAATTCTGAAAATTTTTGTGTAGCCTCTTCATGATGTACTCTACCTAGGAAAAATAAGAAATGAGCATTTTCAGTACTTTTTCTATATTCTAAAATTACCTCTTTTAATTAATAAATGCACCTTCCATGATTTTTATAGGCTTAAATAATTAACCTTTAATAATGAAACTTTTTGAGTGTGCTTTATATGCTTAGTGCTGCCTTCACAAAAATTATGGTACTGTTTTGTTAATTTTTATCACCCACTTAATTAAATGCCTTTAATTAATTGATTAATAAATGCTAAATGTTTAGGGTTAACCATAAAATGTTGGATTAATTGTAGACCTTGGGACACAAACAACTCTGATGTTCCTTGGCAATTTAATTACCTATTGGATGTGCTCATAATCAACTTGTTAATAATAAAAACTAAATATTGCTTTGTGAGTAATTAACAAAACTTAATTATGAAGGAAAGTATCGCATCATTCTAAAGCATGCATATTTACCTAAGTTTAGTGATCGAGAGTGGAATTCCGTTGTTGAGCAAGCCCCAGAAGTGGATTTCTTATTAGTGGATTTGGTTATCTTATCTGTGGTTTTCTGAAGTGCCTGACAACCCCAACACCGTAGGCAAGCCCCGGAGCATAACACCTTTCCTTGTGTTTTATAAACGTTATTCACTTAAGTCTTATGCTTGATGCATTTAAGTAAAATAGGAGTTGTTTGAATACTAATTGCTGCATGCCTGCCTTGGTACTTCAATATCCATCCTTGTCACTTTGTTAGTAATAGTAGGTTAATGATGCTTAGTTATGCTTAATAGTTAAGAGTTGAACAACAAGGTTGTTTCACATGTTCTTACCAGGGAATGCCCCGTGGTTTGATAATAATGATGAATTTAATTTGAGACCGGACGGACTCTTTGCTTGCGTCATGAAATGAGTCATGACGTAGTGCCCTGCCTGTGTCGATTGAGGACCGTTCGTTGTAGACCTGCTGTGAGTCGAGACTTTATAGTACTGGCCGCATACTCCAGTAAGTCTAATACTTCGGCTATTCCATTATGAGAAAAGGACAACCACGCACTAGAAGTGGAGAGATGACGAGAGTAGCGTGTATCCATCCTACGAAACCGCTGGGACGGCGCAGGGAGGTGGAGTACTGTACCCTCGGGTGGCGCGAACCCGTTCTTGTTTTGGAGGATCCGAGTGAAGGTTGATATATGTAGGTCTCAGACCTGCATATGTCGTGTGGTAAGGAAATCCTAGCTGGGCCAAATCGATTCGAATCGCCATTGTTTCTCGGAGAAGAAGACTAGATTCTCTGTTCTACATCGTAGTTAATAAACTGA